ACTACATTGACAGCTTTTACGCAGTATGGGTACACTAAACATTACGCATGGCGCATGAGTGTCAAGTATCAATATTCAACACCTAGGCTTAACAGTCCACTGCGTCTCATGTTTCAAAACAAAACGCACAAGGGACGGGGAAGGATAGAGACCCATGCATTAATAAAACAACTAGATCCTCACCTGCCCTTTTACGAGACTTGCGGCAAATTGCCTCATCACCGCTTCCACTGTGTAGGCGCTGGACCATCCGCGGGGGGTTAACAGCTCCATACATATCGCTCCGCCGTCCAGCACGTACCCGTTTTCCAACCGGGGGGTGAGCACCCGCATGAAAGGCGGGGAGAAGGGGAAATTGTCGGGGAAAGAGACATTCAGCAGTATGAACTCGGTGTTCGTTTCTTTCATGTCCTGCCACAGCGCCGAGTCTTTGTCCACCTGGTGGAGCTTGACGTTCCAGTCAAATAGGTTGTCGTCGACCAGCTCGACCGTTATAAAGTTGTCTCCCAACCGCCGGATCTCCTGGAGTTCCTTCATGAGTCTTCTCGTCCGGACTTGGGTGCAGTGCTGCCGGTGAGGGGCTACTGATGGTATCGAGGCACTGGTCGCTGATTTCCCAACCCCGATCCCACCTCCTCCTCCTCCGCCTCCCATTTGCTGTTTCTCCTTGGTGTCCTTGCCCTGTTGCTTATCCTTTACGGACGGTTTGTCCTTGCTGCTGTGCTGGTCCAGCTTCTTCGCTTTGATTTCGGGGGTGCTGAGGAGGTTGTTGGTCTCGTTTGTGGTCTGAGAGTGCTGCTTGGTGTTGTTCTTGGTGTTCCCCTTGGTCCCCTTTAGCGAGCCCTGGTGATGCTTGGGGTCCTCTGTGTCCCGGTCGTGAAGACGAATCAGACCGATTTTACGCAGTAGAGTGGCCATTATGTTTTCGCCGAGCGCAGGGCGATCGAGATTCACGATTCTCCCTATATAGCCAACCACTGATGTTGGACGGTGAAACCGTAAAAAAACGTCAACCGTGTGCCGCAATCCCTCAGCTATACTGCAGCCTCTGGATAGACGCTTGCATGTAGCCTAGTCCTTCTTCAGTGCATCATTCCGACGAGGTCCGACTGAAAAAACACACACGCCATTAATAAACCGATGAACTGCTGTCTATTCGATTTGCAGTTTAATAAATCTGCCACTGAAGATAAAATAATCCTATTCTATAGTAGCCTAGTGGACTGACTGTGTTGTGGCAATTGACTGCATTCCTAGTGGCAATCAATGGCTGCTGAATATCTCTGCTATTATCCAATAGGCTACATAGGGTACAGAATAGATAGCTGCTTTGAAATAAGCATATACACTGTTATTCCTCTTATAAACGGTTATAATACACACATAGCACACCACCTCTATTTTAATATACACATCGATTTACCATTTATAAGTCCGTTCGGAAAAATTAAACCCCCAATGTCCTCGGTGTAACCTATGCGACGAAAAGGCGACTCTTCAGTAGCACTGGCAGCAGCTATTACAGTGGAGAGAGAGAGAGGGATATTAAACGGTTACCATCCAACAAAGCGAGCTAAAGCCTTTGATGTAACTGCAGCTGCCGCAACACTGTCTCTAATGTTAACCCCGCTAATCCTTGGCGAGGACTCACACAATCCTCGTTAGCTCGCTGCGTTCACACACACACAAATAGCAGCGGAAAGGAACGACCAGCCAGACATGGGTTGGCTTCCGCCGCTCTACCTGGTTTGAATGGTTAATGATGTGGAGAGAGAGAGGGCTAGATGTGGACGAAAGAGGAGAGAGTGAAAGTGGGCTGGGCTTTTCAGCCAATGTCATCCTATCATAGCCGATACATAAGAGCTTTTTCCCACTCCGGTGATAGAGGCCTATATGCCTCAGGGCTGGGGTCAATTCAATTTAAATTCCAATCAATTCAGAAAGCAGGGTGATGTCAGCATTAGTGGGACATCAGGTGTAGTGGTACATTTTCGTTTGAGGGTACTGTACTATGGTAATTTTGCAACCCAGGCACAACAAATGTTATTGGGTTGTTCATGAATGTGTTCCGTGTATGGACAAATAGTTTTGGGTTAGTGTGACGTCATTGTAGTGTGTGTGTGTGGTCAGGTTTCCTAGATGGGGTGAACCGTTAAAACTCATGAAACACAGCCATACATATGAAACCTTGCGCTAGAATGACAAGGCTGTGATTCTGTCAATTATAATTCAACAATCTAGCTTTTGGTGTTACAATTAATAGTTATTGGTAGTGTTTTAAAATATACTGAATAAAAATATAAACACAATATGTAAAGTGTTGGTCCCATGTTTCATGAGCTGAAATTAAAGATCCCAGAAATGTTCCATATGCACAAAAAGCTTATTTCTCTAAAATGTTGTGCACAAGTTTGTTTACATTTAGTGAGGATTTCTTCTTTGCCAAAATCATTCATCCACCTGTCAGATGTGGCATATCAAGAAGCTGATTAAACGGCATGATCATTACACAGGTGCACCTTGTGCTGGAGACAATAAAAGACCACTCTAAAATGCGAAATTTTGTCACACAACACAATGCCACAGATGTATCAAGTTTTGAGGGAGCGTGCAATTGGCATGCTGACTACAGGAACGTCCACCTGAGTTGTCGCCAGAAAGTTGAATGTTCATTTCTCTACCATAAGCCGCCTCCAACATCGTTTTAGAGACTTTGGCAGTACATTCTAACCGACCTCACAACCGCAGACCGCGTGTAACCACGCCAGCCCAGGACCTCCACATCCGGCTTCTTCACCTGCGGAATCGTCTGAGACCAGCCACCCAGACAGCTGATGAAACTGAGGAGTATTTCTGTCTGTAAAAAATCCCTTTTGTGGGAAAAAAACGTATTCCGATTGGCTGGGCCTGGCTCCCCAGTGGGTGGGCCCTTGCTCCCAAGTGGGTGGGCCTATGCCCAGTCATGTGAAATCCATAGATTAGGGCCTAATTTATTTATTTCAATTGACTGATTTCCTTATGAACTGTAACTCAGTAAAATTGTTGAAATTGTTGAAATTGTTGTGTTTATATTTTTGTTCAGTATATAATAACCATTCATGTAAACAGTTATTATATTTTAGGAAATCAGATTTATAGTACTGTCCCACTTCCCCTGAATTGTCCTTGAATAGTGGGACAGGGACCTTTTCAGCTATAAAAATGCACAAAACGAACCTTTAATCAATTTAAATGTATTTTCCTTCATTAGATATTCTATAAATACACTGAAATATGTTGTTTTAGTTGTTCATAACATATCTGAATCGATTTTAGATGCTATATAGCAAATAAACAGATGGTGGAAGGAATCAGGGGGGTTTAATAAGGGTAGGAAAAGAAAGAAAGGAAGCAAGCACCTGACATGTAAGAAATGGAGGATAGAAAATAGGCTACATTTATGAATGGGGACAGAATTTGGGGGATAGTAGAGGTGTTTCAGGATCAAGTAAAAGCTGTACAGACTCCTTTAGTTAGATTTTCACCAAGAGCTTGGAATGTCCCCAAATCAATTTTCCAAGGGCATTGTCACGGTTATTGTCACAAAATTATAAAAACAGAGAGTGTGTTATCTACAAGCTTCTACAAAGTCTTATTGATGAGTTCATGACAAGTGTGAGGTGAAGTGGGACACTAATGTATTTTGAATGAGAAAATAGTGTCCCAGTTCATTTACTAAAGTGTCCCACTAACACTGAAAGCCATGCTTTAGCAAAAGTATGGGTGTGATGTTTTTTTAGGGGTTGTAGCATCTAGTGAATAATAAATTATCAAGTTGTTTGATCATAAACATTTAGATAAGACCTTAATTGAAATAAACATCACTTGAGTAGTGGTAAACTGATTTTGATTGTCTAAATAGCGATCTACCAAAAAGTGTCCCACTCATGCATACTTACCCTAAACCAAATTCCAATTCCAAAACTTAAATAAATGGTCCTCTAAATTATTTTGTGGGTTAATAATAATAATAAATAATATGCCATTTAGCAGACGCTTTTATCCAAAGCGACTTACAGTCATGCGTGCATACATTTTTTTTGTGTATGGGTGGTCCCGGGGATCGAACCCACTACCTTGGCGTTACAAGCGCCGTGCTCTACCAGCTGAGCTACAGAGGACCACATTCATGTCTATGTTCTATCCTAACAGGACAAGAGAGGTGGGGATATATTTAGTGTAGCCTATAGCCTAATTATTGTGTGAATTATGTTAAGGCTATTATATTACAAAGTGGCTTCAAACAGGCTGTCTTAAGTAGCCTACAAAGTATTTTAGTATATTTTATATTTTGTATATTTTATTGTTTCACTGCACTGCTTTTATACATTGAAAACAATTACAAACATTGTCCATCAAGCTATAAATAAATGTAAACAAATACCCTGCATTAAACATGCATGGTGAGGATGATACATTTTAACAAACAATGTTAGGCCTACAAATTGACCTTTGTACGTATAGCAAGTTGCAATAATGTATCGCTATTTCAGAGCACGACGCTTTGCGGTAATCTGAAGCTGCAGACGGCAGTCTGTCGCTACGGCAACTACACATTCACCAGTGATTGGTTCTCACCCTTCCGTAAAGCAGTATGCCATGTGCGTGTTTGTCACCAGTTACCACAGCCACAAAGTCAAAATGGGCGTTATCATTAAAATTCATGAAAACAAAAAGTAGCTTTTTTGGTATTCATTTAAGTTTAGGCATAAAGTTATCAGTGTGGTTAATGTTAGGGTTAAGGTTAGTTTTAAAATCAGATTTTAAGAAGATAAATTGTAGAAATAGGCGGGGTTTAACCTTGATTATCACATTGTGGCTGTTATAACTAGTGACGACCATGGGAGTCTCGAAAGTGACTCAAGTTGTGATGAATTGACAAAAGGCTTTGTCTGTCTTTTTATATTTCCACAAATATTTGATGTCCATGAGAAATGAACACATAACGTTTTGTTGGAGACATGGCTGAGAAATTTGATAACCTCGAGGAGCATCTCGAGAAGTTCGTTGAAAATATTCGACAGATGGGAATCATCGTTAGCGACTTTCAACCTAGCAGTCAAACAGGACTCAACCAAAAACTGTAAGTGATGCCAGTTAGCTAGCTAGGTGTTTCTCGTATTACTAGCCATCATAGCTAGCCACTTAAATATGTGACTACTACCTAACTCCCCAAGTTATCAATAGACTACAGTTGTTTGCAAAAGTCAAATGATGGTTAGCCAATGCTAGCTAGTCTCCACATAGCTAAGTTAGCTAGCTAGTTAGCTACTTTGATAGCTAGCTAGTACAGTCAATGTCATAGACCAGGGATGGGCAACTTCAGTCCTCGGGGGCCAGAGTGGTGTCTCACTTAAAAAAAAAAACGGAAGATCATAATTTGTTGATTAAATGGAGTCAGGCGTGTTAGTTGGGGCTGGGGAAAAAGTGTGACACCAATCAGGCCCCAGAGGACTGAAGTTAACCAATCCCTGTCATAGACACATAGCAGGGTATAAAAGACTGCACATAGATTAATGACCTGATTAAACGCTAACTGACAGTAATGTTGAGGTAGGTAGATGATTTTGGCTGCAATTTGTTGAAACGTCTCTACTCCTGTGCATTTCAGAAACTACATGATCACTGGACTGCAGGACATTGAGAAATGTCGCCAGCAGCTACATGAGATCAACGTTCCTCTCGAGGCTTTTGAGTGAGTAGATGTACCAACTGAAATATACGCCTGCCATGTCTAGATCTCTAGTTTATTTGTGAGACTCGGAAGCCCAGGCTTCTCATGTAACTTTTGAAAGCCTGGAGAAGTTCTCAGGAAGATGATGAAGAGGGGTGGTCAAGATGTAAACTAGTGGTGACGCGTTGCCACGGGTTGGGGGATTTTACCACAGAGTTTCTAAATCCAGAGGCGCAACATCGCGAGAATTCCGGAAATGCTTGCCAAGCAGACCAGGCCGGGGTTTCAGAAGTGAACAATTCTTCTTTAGATGTACATTTTTCAAAATCTAAAGGCACAACCTAGATTTGAGCCAATGTCTTAAGTAGTTGAACATGTTATTACTCCAACCTTGTGAAAGTGACAAACTTACACATCTTAAGTCAAAAACAACTTTATCGAAGGAGTGCCTTTTGATTTGACGGCCTGCACAGTTCTGTGTGAGACGACCGTTAGACCCGAAGACAAGTTTATGCGCATGAGCTTAGCTAGCCAACGTCGCCATGACATCGCCTACAAGTGTGAAATGGGAATTTCTATTGGAGAATGAGTTTTCGCATGTCTTTGATTTTGAGATTGCATCGTCTATCGAGGTTTGACAGCCATCGTCGATGGCGACGACATCATGATGTCACAATGTTTTTTTTATTTGACTGCACCTCTGTAGTCTGCGCACAACAGAGCAGTGCAGTGAGCACACAGCATGGCGACATGCCAAATGGCCTATTCCCTATTTCCCATAGCCTAAAAGTTCAATACATATGAGGTAGTAAGACTGTTAACATAATGCAAGAGAACAATGTAGATTGTAGAAAGAGCGGAGAGCACCAAAGCAGCACATAGCCTACTCTTTCATGATCAACCATCAAATGAATCTATAGGCCTAACAGAGTTCCAACTCAGAAAGTTGTTTGTGAATAGCCTAAATAAAAACATAGTATGGTTATAATGAGAGAGAGAGAACAAACAATTGCAAGATAGACTAATGGAATAGGAAGTATAAACACACTTTTTACGTTTCTGCTTTACTTGACTAAAGTGTTGGCAAAATAAAACCATACAGCCAATAATGTAGGCCTTCACATAGGCTACTGTCAATAAAAGTTGCAGTAAATGTTACTTTGACAAGTTAAAATTATAAACTAATATTTATAATATTATCAGTGTTTATTGTCTTTGAATTGTGCAATCGGGCATAAGCTCCCGCAGCAGCACTTTCAAAAAGCGGAAACAAAAAATGAATTAATGATGAGTCGGAGTTTTCTCAAATGTTATTTTCAACAGCTTACAAATTGTGCATTTATATAGAAGTAAAAAACAATCAGATAAAACACATTTATTATTTAGCTTATAACATTCTTTATAGCACTTGAATGAACATTGGCTTAGGCAAAAAATGAATAGGCCTATTATCTTTAGGCTATGCCTTTTGCCTATCAAACTGTACACACAATACCCCATAATGACAGTGAAAAGTTATTGAAAATGAAATACAGAAATATCTAATTTACATAAATATTCACACCCCTGAGTCAATACATGTTAGACTCACCTTTGGCATTGATTACAGCGGTGAGTCTTTCTGGGTAAGTTTAAGAGCTTTGCACACCTGGATTGTGCAATATTTGCACATTATTCATTTAACAATTCTTCAAGCTCTGTCAAGTTGGTTGTTGATCATTGCTAGACAGCCATTTTCAAGTCTTGCCATAGATTTTCAAGACGATTTTAAGTCAAAACTGTAACTAGGCCACACAGGAACATTCAATGTCGTCTTGGTAAGCCACTCCAGTGTAGATTTGGCCTTGTGCTTTAGGTTATTGTCCTGCTGAATGGTGAATTCATCTCCCAGTGTCTGTTGGAAAATAGACTGAACCAGGTTTTCCTCTAGGATTTTGCCTTTGCTTAACTCTATTCCGTTTCTTGTTAAGCAAATGTTTACTCCTGATCTCATTTAGGCTTGCCATAACAAAGGGGTTGAATACTTGACTTACATTTTTAATTCATTTGTAAAAAAATTCTAAAAACATAATTCCACTTTTACATTATGGGGTAGTGTGTGTGTGTGTTTAGGCCAGTGACACAATCTCAATTTAATCAATTTTGAATGTGGAAAAAGTCAAGAGGAATGAATACTTTCTGAAAGCACTGTGACGTAGCCTAAACAAAATAAGTACGAAAATAACCTCAATTTGTGCAAACAAAAGTCTTTCTTTCAAGGTTTGACAGAATATTTTAGCTTATCCTATAGACCCCCCATATTCAACTGGCAGTCTGCGCTGTCCAGATTCGCCGCCGGTATCATATAAACACACAAAAGACATTGAAAAATGTGTAGAATTGCAGGAAATGAGCTTTAAAACAGCCAACAAATACACTGCCCCAATGAAAAATTTGTTGAATTGCAGGAAATTAGCTTTAAAACTGCACAATTTTCTCTCTGCCAACAAGAGGGGTGTGAACAGTTTGGTTTCAAATAGGTTGTGAGGTAGGGGTTTGTTACTACGCCGATAAATGACAATATCCATCCGGACCTTTGCCACCTAGGAAATGTTCCCTTTACCCTGATGATCTGTTTGCATATTCTGCAAGTGACTTGGGTCAGGTCTGCTGGCTCACCTTTTATCGTTCGACCTAAAACCGAATAACTGCCAAACAGGCGACGATGTGCTTTTCTTTCCCACCAAGTCAGTCATAGTTTTTACTGATTTAGTGTATGGAAGCTATACTATAGTGAAATCCTTTTTTAATTTTAGTTTTATTTTTTACAGTCAAACTGTCTAAAAGTAGCCTAATTGGAGAAAAATATCGCACATTTTTTGCGTGGTGGCAGCATCATGCTGTGGGGAGGTTTTTCAGGGACTGGGAAACTAGTCAGGATCGAGGGAAAGATGAACGGAGAAAAGTACAGAGATCCTTGATAAAAACCTGGTCCAGAGCACTCAGGACCTCCGACTGGGGCGAAGGTTCACCTTCCAACAGGACAACGACCCTAAGCACACAGCCAAGACAATGCAGGAGTGGCTTCGGGACAAGTGTCTGAACGTCCTCGTGTGCCAGAGGCCGGACTTGAACCCGATCAAAATAGCTGTGCAGTGACGCTCACCATCCAACCTGACAGAGCTTGAGAGGATCTGCAGAGAAGAATGGGAGAAACTCCACAAATACAGGTGTGCCAAGCTTGTAGGGTCATACCCAAGAAGACTCGAGGCTGTAATCGCTGCCAAAGGTGCTTCTACAAATTTCTGAGTAAAGGGTCTGAATACTTATTTAAATGTGATATTTCAGTTTATTTTTAATTAAGTTAGCAAACATGTCTAAAATCCTATTTTTGCTTTGTCATTATGGGGTATTGTGTGTAGATTGATATGGGGGGGGGGGGGGAATAATTGAATCCATTTTAGAATAAGGCTGTAAAGTAACAATGTGGAAAAAGTAAAGGGGTCTGAATACTTTCCGAATGCACTGTATAATATATATTTTTTAAAGATAAGCTAATATAACTGATATCTGAGTGTTTTTATGGACAAGAGAAACATAGCCCTACCATTTTGTAAATCATTCTGTAGACTAGATAAACAAACAATATTGCGTTCTTCCCACCAATTGACCCCTCTGTGTGCAATGGGACAATGTGTCATTCCACATCGCCCAACCGTAGTTGCCACTGATCAAACCAATCACATAGTTTGCATGGGTGGAGAGCCAAATAGAGATTGTGTTGCTAAACTAGTGATGGGCATAATTCTGAGTCTTTTCAATGAGCTGGATCTTTTGGCTCCATTCACCTAAAAGAGCTGTTCATTTGACTGCCAAAGGGTTCTTCGCTCGGTAGTGCATAGAAATGGATGAAAAACAGCAACTTTCTAATGTATAGTCTAAAAGGTTTCCTACCATTATGTCAGATGGTGAAATGTGAGTTCAAATAAAACATTTACCTGATGAAATTACATTACTTGCAATTTTTTTTTTTTTTTTTACACACTGCAAAAATGAGCTAGGACTGGAATGAGGCTCTCTCCACACTACCTTTTTGTTCCTACAGTGAGGATTGAACATCTTCAGATAATGTTTTTATAACTTATAAATCTGGGAGCCATATGAACGGATCTCACAGATGCGATTCGGTTCCCGACATTTACCAAAAATATCAGTTCAAAAAGAGCTGTTCATTCGCGAATGACCCATCACTATTAAAAACAAAACAAAACAACATCTGAGTTGCAAGAAGCTAGTATGCACTTTGTCCGACACGGTAGGAAAAGCGACACAGACAAAACAAGGAAAAAAACAAGGAATGCCTCTCTGGAGGCTCAGTTGGTAGAGCATGGCGCTTGCAACGCCAGGGTTGTGGGTTCGTTTCCCACTGGGGGCTAGTATGAAAAATGTATGCACTCACTAACTGTAAGTCGCTCTGGATAAGAGCGTCTGCTAAATGACTAAAATGTTAAAAAAAAAAAAAAAAAAAGTGTTCTCTGTGCCAATCAAATCTGAGCTTGAATTCCAGCGCTTCCATTAGGGATGGGCACGGTTATTCGACAATCGACCGGACGTTAGTATTAGATTACTTGGTATACATTTTTGAGAATAATAAATATATAGGCCTATTTTAACAATGAAGGCTTTGTCTAAAATTGTAATAAAATAATTTGTGACATTGCTACATAGCCTACAAGGATAGACCATTTTATATTCAAAAAATGTATTTAAAAGTTATGCACCCTATTAAAAAAATAAATATATATATATATATATATACAGTGGGGGGAAAAAAGTATTTAGTCAGCCACCAATTGTGCAAGTTCTCCCACTTAAAAAGATGAGAGAGGCCTGTAATGTTCATCATAGGTACACGTCAACTATGACAGACAAATTGAGGAAAACAAATCCAGAAAATCACATTGTAGGATTTTTAATGTATTTATTTGCAAATTATGGTGGAAAATAAGTATTTGGTCACCTACAAACAAACAAGCAAGATTTCTGGCTCTCACAGACCTGTAACTTCTTCTTTAAGAGGCTCCTCTGTCCTCCACTCGTTACCTGTATTAATGGCACCTGTTTGAACTTGTTATCAGTATAAAAGACACCTGTCCACAACCTCAAACAGTCACACTCCAAACTCCACTATGGCCAAGACCAAAGAGCTGTCAAAGGACACCAGAAACAAAATTGTAGACCTGCACCAGGCTGGGAAGACTGAATCTGCAATAGGTAAGCAGCTTGGTTTGAAGAAATCAACTGTGGGAGCAATTATTAGGAAATGGAAGACATACAAGACCACTGATAATCTCCCTCGATCTGGGGCTCCACGCAAGATCTCACCCCGTGGGGTCAAAATGATCACAAGAACGGTGAGCAAAAATCCCAGAACCACACAGGGGGACCTAGTGAATGACCTGCAGAGAGCTGGGACCAAAGTAACAAAGCCTACCATCAGTAACACACTACGCCGCCAGGGACTCAAATCCTGCAGTGGCAGACGTGTCCCCCTGCTTAAGCCAGTACATGTCCAGGCCCGTCTGAAGTTTGCTAGAGTGCATTTGGATGATCCAGAAGAGGATTGGGAGAATGTCATATGGTCAGATGAAACCAAAATATAACTTTTTGGTAAAAACTCATCTCGTCGTGTTTGGAGGACAAAGAATGCTGAGTTGCATCCATAGAACACCATACCTACTGTGAAGCATGGGGGTGGAAACATCATGCTTTGGGGCTGTTTTTCTGCAAAGGGACCAGGATGACTGATCCATGTAAAGGAAAGAATGAATGGGGCCATGTATCGTGAGATTTTGAGTGAAAACCTCCTTCCATCAGCAAGGGCATTGAAGATGAAATGTGGCTGGGTCTTTCAGCATGACAATGATCCCAAACACACCGCCCGGGCAACGGAGTGGCTTCGTAAGAAGCATTTCAAGGTCCTGGAGTGGCCTAGCCAGTCTCCAGATCTCAACCCCATAGAAAATCTTTGGAGGGAGTTGAAAGTCCGTGTTGCCCAGCGACAGCCCCAAAACATCACTGCTCTAGAGGAGATCTGCATGGAGGAATGGGCCAAAATACCAGCAACAGTGTGTGTGAAAATCTTGTGAAGACTTACAGAAAACGTTTGACCTGTGTCATTGCCAACAAAGTGTATATAACAAAGTATTGAGAAACTTTTGTTATTGACCAAATACTTATTTTCCACCATAATTTGCAAATAAATTCATAAAAAATCCTACAATGTGATTTTCTGGAAAAAATTCTCATTTTGTCTGTCATAGTTGACGTGTACCTATGATGAAAATTACAGGCCTCTCTCAACTTTTTAAGTGGGAGAACTTGCACAATTGGTGGCTGACAAAATACTTTTTCCCCCCTGTGTGTGTGTGTGTGTGTGTGTGTGTGTGTGTGTATATATATGTATATATATATATATATATATATATATATATATATATATATATATATATATACACACACTGATAACGTGTGTAGGCTGTTATTGTCGGTTAATCAAGGCGGCGCTACAGAGACTCCATGTGCAGCAAGTGAACTGGGAGATTTCTTATCAATGCAAAATGGAATTACAATTATGGAATTAAGTTGGCTAAATAAGAACTAGGCTATAATCATCAACCAACAGTTAGGCTGTCGTTTCATATGAATGGAGTTGTAGACAAGTAGGGGGAGCGCTGAAAAATAGCCTGAATTAGCCTTGCTACTTTAGCTAGCTAGTTACTGTAGCTAGCTAGCTTCTTTACAAGCAATAACTTTCTATAATTGGCGTGAGTCGGATTTGGCTACTTTTTTTTCCTCTTTCAGCGTGCCCCACACATACCGGTTCCTCTCCTGTCTCACCCCTTCCCCACCATCCAGCTGAAACAAGCAGAGCGAGCAAGTCTCCATTTGAAGTTTTAAGGTTTTCTTTAAAACATGTATTTCGACTATCCGGATAGCCAAAAAATATATATATTATTCAAATAGTGAAGTCATTTCAAATGCCCATCCCTAACTCTCATTCAAATGCAGAATCCAATAGTTAAGTTCTCCAGACTTCTAATAGTCAACGAGATGAGCTTTTGAAGGATGGCCATGCGAGACTATGGTGAGCATAACAGAAGGAAAGTCACCCAAGCTCTTTCTCTCCCTCAGACCTCCACTTGGCCACAGACCTTTAGCCTAACTCAACTGATGTAATGTTTTGTCTTGTGTTGTCAGATACATAGACCAGGGTCGTAACCCCCAGCTGTACACCAAAGAGTGTCTGGAAAGGGCCCTGGCCAAGAATGAGCAGGTCAAAGGCAAGATTGACACCATGACGGTAAGTAGCAGTAGATTCAAGCCTAATAAAGACCTAGAAATAGAAGATCAGTACATTGAGGAAATTACATGATGACAAGTAGTCTTGGTTACACTTTGGAAGTGTCCTAAGCAGATACAGTATAACGCCCTTATACTGTCTTATTACCATCAGAACCATAATGATCCGGACTAAATAACAGTAAATAATCTACAGCTTCAACCTCTGACCCCTCTGTTCTGTCTCTGGTTGCAGAAGTTCAAGAGCCTGCTGATCTCTGAGCTGGGCAAGGTGTTTCCAGAGGAGATGACCAAGTACAAGGCTATCCACGGAGATGACCCCCCCTCATAGTGACCCTTGACCTTTTAACTCCCTGACCTCAAAGCCACAGTGGGGTCTCACCCAGCAGGATCAATGAGTCAGCCAGATGACATGTATTAATATTCATGTAATATTAATGGGAAAGTGTGTTGTTGACATTGAGAAATAAGAACTTATTGCCTTTTTCAAGTATCTTTTAGTTGTACTGGAAATATGACATTTTCTCAATCTGATATCTGGCTAACTGTTTCCTCCTGCTGTGTTGAGATCCCACCTACAAGATGTACATAATGTTTATACTCCTACAGAACCTTTTTGTAAAGACCTAAAGATCATTGTACAACACTGCAGACCTGGAATGCGACTCCGTTTTGTATCAAGCTCAGTTATCAAAAGGTGTCTTGTTCATGGGCAAGAACCTAGCCCAGAGGTTTGAAACACTCATTTTGTTTTGATTTGATCTTGTTAGTTTTTGTTATGTTTTTAAAATAAATGGGCTTGTGATTGAAATATTAGTCTGGTATTTACTGCCATGCTAGCTCCTTGTAGGCCACAATTCGTGAACAGGAACTTGAATTATAAGTCTAATGTATAAGAGTTTAAGGCCTCAATGTCACATTCTATTCTTTCACCCAAGGGTCAAATCACTAAGCACATTACATTGTAAGAGGTTGTGTTTAGTGGGTATTAAAGAAGGAAATTTGATATTTTTTTACCGACAGAAAACTTGACGAATAGAAATGCTATTAAATTTCTCTTTTCCATTTGCAAACATTCTCTCCCTACAGAATGTGGCCAGATCAGTCCATCACCATCGTGAAGGGAGTAAGGCCAGAGTAGGAGATGACACTGGTTCTCCTATGTCATTCTCCTGTCTCTGGGTGACATTTTGGTGTCGACGGTCTCTTGTATCCTCAGCGTCATGGCTTTCCCTGCAGTGTAATCCTGTACCGTGCGCACGTGTGTGGGGTTGTTCTGAGACAGATGCTCCAGAAGCGTGGAGCCTTCAGGACCAGGGAGCAATCATCAGGGTAGGTCATGGCCCAGCATGCCTCCGCCTGCTGGGGTAGAGAGACAGGGACACTCCCACTGAGCCTGAAGACCAACTCCCTGGGGTGGGGGGGAGGAGGACGTTCCCTATTATGACTTTCAGTGAAGCAGGGTTTTTTATTAATCTTGAGGACTGGGAGCCTGGTCACCAGATTAGAAAGACGAAGACAAGGGGATAGAATGGAGACTATTTATTGTCGACTACAAGGCCTTTTTTAAGACCGCACTGCAAACAATAGGAAAGATTGAACATGCATGCTGTAGCTTCAAGATGTTTGCATCCAATAAAACAAAGCAAAGCATACATTATTTTGAAATACTTTGCACCAAAAAGGATGTAATATTGTTTACCTTTCTTTGACCTTAAACACTTTACCCCAGTTGTACGCTGAGCAAAAATATAAATGCAACAATGTCAGATTTTACTGAGTTACAGTTCATATAAGGAAATCAGTCAATTGAAATAAATGCATTAGGCCCTAATCAATGGATTGCACATGACTGAGAATACAGATATGCGTCTGTTGGTCACATATACAGTACCTTAAAAAAAGGTAGGGGCGTGGATCAGAAAACCAGTCAGTATCTGGTGTGACCACCATTTGCCTCATGCAGCGGGACACATCTCCTTCGCATAGTTGATCAGGCTGTTGATTGTGGCCTGTGGAATGTTGTCCCACTCTTCAATGGCTGTGCAAAGTTGCTGATTTAATGGCAGGAATTGGAACACGCTGTCGTACACGTCAATCCAGAGCATCCCAAACATGGCTGGCATGTCTGGTGAGTATGCAGGCCATGGGAAAAACTGGGACATTTTCAGCTTCCAGGAATTGTGTACTGCAAACAATTGTGTGCCTTGCGACATGGGGCAGTACATTATCGTGCTGAAACATGAGGTGATGGCGGGGGATGAATTGCACAAAAATGGACCTCAGGATCTCATCACGGTATCTTTGTGCATTCAAATTGCCATCGATAAAATGCAATTGTTCGTTGTCCGTAGCTTATGCCTGCCCATACCATAACCCCACTGCCACCATCAGCAAACCGCTTGCCCATGCAATGCCATACACGTGGTCTGCAGTTGTGAGGCCGGTTGGACACTGCCAAATTCTCTTAAAACGACGTTGGAGGTGGCTTATGGTAGAGAAATTACATTCTCTGGCAACAGCTCTGGTGGACATTCCTGTAGTCAGCATGCCAATTGCACGCTCCCTCAACTTGAGACATCTGTGGCATTGTGTTGTGTGACAAAACTACACATTTTAGAATAGCCTTTTATTGTCACCCTCATGCTATTTTATCCGTTTCTTGATATGCCACACCTGTCAGGTGGATGGATTATCTTGGCAAAGGAGAAATGCTCACTAACAGGGATGTAAACAAAATTGTGCACCAAATTTGAGAGAAGTAAGCTTTTTGTGTGAGAAATTACTGGGCTCTTGTATTTCAGCTCATGAAACATGGGACCAACACTTTACATGTTGCGTTTATATTTTTGTTCGGTGTACATGCCTGGTTGCTTAGTAATTGGCACAATAGTGACAGAGACCTCAGTGCTCTCTTTAGCGATGCACAGACATGACGGTGCAATATGTCCTCTTTATCCTCAGGGAAACAGGTGGAATCATATGTGCGGGTGCAGGGGGCAGGGAGGTGGCTGATGTCATCAATCAAGGACAATATCCCCATGCTTCTTTGTCTCATTATCTTTCTCCTCTTCCTTTCTCCTTATCTTCCTCCCCGTCCTCGCTTTGTCCTTTACTTGTATTATGCGGTCAGCATTACGCTCTCCTCCTCTTCACTCCTCTTCTGTTTTTTTTTTTTATTCACCTGCAACGACGCATCATAGGCCAAGGGTAAACCTTTCAGTCCCCAGCAGCACAGGGTAAGGCAGAGGGGAGGGATTTTAATCTAATTGTCCTTTGTACGTTTTTCTTCAGTTTATTCATATTCACTTTTTATTCAATTTGTGTACATAGTTGAAAATTGCCGTGACATTTCTCTAGCTGAATAGAGTGGTGCTGGCTGTGTGTGTGTGTGTGTGTGTGTGTGAATTACTTGTTTGAGGTAAGTTTTTCTTCCTCTTTTACATCCTCCTCATGTGCGCTCAGGCTAGTCGCCCCGAATCAAACATCCTTGACCGTTACCTAGGTTACCTACCTCCTCTCTTTTATGATGGCCACATTTTTTATTTTCTTCAGCATTCCCCTAGGAGTGAGACAAAGTGAGAGGGAATGTGAGATTTCTTGGTTGAAATAACCTTTCTGCTAGAGGTGGATCCTCTTGCTCTTTGTTATATGCAGTTCCTAGCCTTGAGTAGCTTTTATAACGCTGAATGCTATCTCGTTCAATGAGGGTACTGGAAATAATAATGGTTGTTCCTAACAGTTCTATTTATTAGATAAAGTATCAACCGTATTCATATTGTAAACCTATAGATGGCAAATGTAGGAAGTAGTGTTAAGTAATTAAGGTAACCATAATTCAACAACATCTCTCCTCTTTATGCTCCAGAGAGCGAGAGAGAGAGATACTTTTTGTTTTTGCTCTTTGCTTGCTGTCTGACTTATTCCAAAAAATTTTTGTTACAGCCTGAATTCAAAATGGATCGAATAGATTTTTTTTTTCTCACCCATCTACACACAATACCACAAAATGAAAGTGAAAACGTGTTTTTGGAAAACCTTGCTAATGAAATACAAACATTTAGATAAGGACACCCCTGAGTCAATATTTTGTAGAAGCACCTTTGGCAGCGATTACAGCTGTGCAGAGTATGCGAGTGGAGTTGAGCTGTAGGAAATCCCGCTCATCGCTCATGGAGCTGTGCTTCCGGCGTTACATATCCTTTCGAACTGCTCCGCGCTCACAGAAGAATAAAAAAACTGCCTCCAAATTCGCTCCATTCATTAAAATCACAATTCAACCAACACCCATCTATTTTTGTGACTACCTGGACATACTATTTGGTTTTCAAGTATTGAAACCAAACCATATGATTTGAATGAAAAGTATTTTAATAAACATGAAAAGGTGAATTTAAGAAGCGCTCATAATTTCAAATAGGCTGCATGTCATATTAAACACCATATAAACACTCTAAATAGGTCAGGAGCCAGACAGGGAGCCTAAGAAGGAACGGAAATGAATTATTTAGGCTATATTATTTAAAGGCTATAGCCTACAAAGAAATACATTGTGAAGCATTTGCAATTGCGGCACACTAGGCTGGTAGGGAGTCAGGGACATTAAGCGCTCAGCATTTAAACAACATTTCATTGTATTAAATCATTATAGTCTATACATTTCGCATGTAGGCTGTGACTTACTTAGAATTATATACAAATTAAACGAAAAATGCCTGATTTGGCTCAGTCTACAGTGCCTTTGAATTCATTTTTAGAAACACGAGTTTGGCCAGACTCTATGCGATGTTGCCTGGAGACCAGGCCAGCAGCAGAGAATATCCTCTCCATGCTTGCAGAGCCACTGGGGATGCGAAACCCCTTTTGGCCACTCTTGCCAGGCTGGGCTGGGATGCAGTGTTTTTTTTTTTTTTAAATATAGGTAGGCCTAAAAGTTTTTACCCAAAGTAACCCAATCGAAACAGAAAGCTCCTTGTTAAGTTGGAATATGCTAGGCCTATTGGCCCAATATCAATTATGACCTATTGGATAGATGATAGAACAAAAATGAACAACTTTTAATAGATCAGATTTTTTTTGTTTATAAATACTTTGCTACAATGACACATTTAATTAGCTACCCACCTTGTTCCTTTCTTTTAGCATATGCATGTAGTAAGTACACCATCATGCTTTCGGGATACGTGTCTTTTCAGGTTCTGTAATGATTCTTTAGTTGTGGACACTACATCACCACACTCCCTCTCTTGCTCTTGGCCCTCATCTTTGTAAGTCACCTTGATTTTGCACCTGTGTGTTTTATCAGTTTCTTTATGAAAATATTCAGCGAAC